CAGATATTATAGATGTTACCCTAATACTCCACACAAAGATTAATAAGAAAACTCCCCAAAGAAACACGGGTTAAGGATGAAAGTCATAAAAGAGGGAATCCAAATGGCCAATAAGCATCAAAGACATTGAACTTCAGGAGCAACCAGAGCATGTAAATCACAGCAACATGGAAGCCGTTTTCCCCTGGAGGTGGTCACGGAACTAGAGTAGGAAAGGTTTCCCGGAGGCCTGAGCGGGGAGGACAGGGGCTGCCAAGGACACACAGAGGTCTCTCTCCCGCCCTCTCTCTGCACACAGCTCATTCAGTGTGAAAAATAAACCACGCTGCTAATTAAAGAAACAGATATTAAATGAAAATGCTGCCGAAACCGGTGTGGCTCAGTGGACAGAGCGTCGGCCTGTGCACTGAAAGGTTCCGGGTTCGATTCCGGTCAAGGGCATGTACCTTGGTTGTGGGCATATGCCCAGTAGGGGGTGTGCAGGAGGCAGCTGATGGATGATTCTCTCTCATCGATGTTTCTCTCTATCCCTCTTCCTCTCTGTAAAAAATCGATAAAATATATATATTTTTAAAATGAAAATGCCCTTCTCACTCATCTCATTTGCAAAGACTTATATAAAAATAATTCTTTAGGTGAGGGGATGGATATATATAGATATACACACACACACTGCACTAATGGAGGAAACATTGATGGCGAATCTCCTGGAAAGCATTGTGCCAAAAAGAATGAAAATGCACACATCCCCTGACTCTGCAATTCTGCGTGTTCGCATTTATCCTCAGGAAACAAGCCAGCAGAAAGGTGCAGATGCTTGACGGCAGCACCGATTGGGGAAAACAGAACCAACAGGCCAGAGTGAGAATCTCCCAGTTTTGATTTTTCAGTAATACATCTGTCCTACGTGCTAACACACACATTAGAAAGCATACACAAAAAATAAAATTTTAAAGGATAAACAGAAATTCTAACAGTTTCTTCCCACATCTCAGTGGCTCATCTGAGCATCTTCTGGAAGAAGCACGTCTTACCTGGGGACACAGGCCATGCGGTCAGCGATGAAGAGCAGCGCGGTGAGCTGGTGCAGAGAGCAGGGGGTCGGTGAATTCTGTGAAAAGGGAAGCAGTCACACCGTACAGAGACGGCTGACCGGGATGCAAAGTGTTTCTGTTCTTGGACCACAAGGGAGTATAGTTTGGGGGGATTAAGTCTTGGTCAAGGCTGAATGAATCTTCTCACTCTTCCTCCCGCCTCTGGGCTCCCGTCCCAAGCTGATAGTCTTAAAAGGAAAATCCACTTGGAAGTGAAGTCAACAGTACTTAAAAGCTGAAGACACCTGGTCTAATTAGCCTTGGGGCAAGGTCTGAGGAGTCTGGAAGAAGCAAGAGGTAAGGGAAGGAACCCTAGTTATCTGTAGAGAGATAATCAGAGCTGCAAGCTCAGAACTCAATTCCATTTCTCCTGCTGCTTTGGGCAGATTCGGGGAATCGCTGGGTGGGCGGCAGCAATGCTGTGGGGGGGGGGGGGGGGGCACGACACTCCCGGACACAGCAAACGTGCTCCCCAGGAACCCACATGCAGCCTGAGCCGCAGCGACGGCAGACCCTGCTGCTGGCTGCTCTTCCCGCCCTGAGGAAGGAGGGACGGGGAGGTGCAGGGGAGGACAGGTCCTCCTGGAGCTTGTCATCAGCCACAAGGCAAGCACTGGGCCTGTGCCGCGCGCTTTAGAGAAGCGGAGGGCCCCAGGCGCATTGAAAGGGAACGCCACCTTGGGAAGTTCTCGCTGGATTCAGAATTGTTTCCTTCCTTTATGAAATCAGAAAACACGAACAAAGTTGTAGCAAACACCCCCTTCCATCCCTCCCGAGGGCATGGCAGGAGTAAGGTGTGAGGCAGGTTCTGGCTCTGGGAGGGGCCCAGCGGAGTGCCCTCCCGCTGAGCGCTCCATCCCTGGGCTAAGTCCTCCTGGCTGGCACCCCCGTGCTTCCCTGAAACAAGTGGGAACATACCAGCCTCTAAGAGGTCGGCTAAGGAGGCTCAGCCTGGACAGTTTCCACCCAGGGGCCGCTAGCTGCTCCGGCTTCTGCTAGTGACCTCACTGCAGGGACCCTCTGGGGAGACTGGCTTAGAAAGCCTGGAATTCAGCAAGTGGCTGGTAAGTTTAACACGCCATGCACAACAGGGTTCCTCTCCATCAACAGTACAACTGCAAACTGTAAGAAAAGATTCCATTCCTCAGAACAAAACAAAAAAGCTACCAGAAATAAAGCCAACACAAAACACGCCATTTAAACTGCTTCTACACGGAAAAGAGCATGAGACTTACCCGACAGGCATAAAAACCAACCAAAGCGGTGAGACATGCCACTTTCCTAGATGATAAAGTTCGGCATCATAACCACAGCCCTAACCTCGTAGCTCAGTTGGTTAGAGCATCATCCCGAAACATAAGGCTGTGGGTTCAGTCCCCAGTCAGGGCACATACAACAATGAACCAGTGAACGCATAAATGAGTAGAACAACAAATCAATACTTCTCTATCAAACCAATAAATAAAAATAAAAAAGTCTAGCCTCGGCCAGGAAACGCAGTTGGTTGGAAGGCTGTCCCATCCACCAAAAGGTGCGGCTCAATCCCTGGCCAAGGCACACACCGAGGCGGTGGGTTCGGTGGTGGGTTTGGTGTCCGGTCACCGCACATACGGGAGACGACCGATCCATATTTCTCTCTCTCTCACACTGGTACTTCTCCCTCTCTCTCCTCTCTCCTCCCTCCATCCCTCCCCAGCCCCATATCTCTCTCTCTCTCTCTCTCTCTCTCTCTCTCTCTCTCTCTCAAAAACATATCCTCAGGGGAATACTGGAAATAAAAAGTATTTTCTTGCCCGGGGTGGTTCAGTGGTTGAGCAACAACCCATGAACCAGGATTGCAAGCTGGATCTCCAGTAGGGGGCGTGCAGTGGACACCAATCAATGATTCTCTCTCCTTGATGTTTTACTAATATTTTTTAAAAAATATATTTTATTGATTTTCTACAGAGAGAGACAGAGAGCTAGAAATGTCAATGAGAGAGAAACATCGACCAGCTGCCTCCTGCACACCCCCCACCAGGGATATGCCCACAACCAATGTACATGCCTTTGACCGGAATCGAACCTGGGATCTTTCAGTCCGCAGACCGACGCTCTACCACTGAGCCAAACCGGTTTCGGCTACTAATATTTTTTAACTGGCAGATTGAAAAACAGCCCCAAAGAAAAATGGGAAAAGGATATGATAAAGCAACTAATAGAACAGGAAATTAAAATGGCCAAAAAACATTAAAAAATGCTCAATCTCACAGGTAATCTGGAAAATGGACACTTAAAAAAACAAAACATTTTGCTCAACAGACTGGTCACAATTAAAAGGGTAGGGTAGGGATGTGCAGGAGGCAGCTGGTTGATGTTTCTCTCTCATCGATGTTTCTAGCTCTCTATCCCTCTCCCTTCCTCTCTGTAAAGAATAAATAATAATAATAATAATAATAATAAAAGAAATATAAAAGATTGTAAGAAAATACTATGAACAACTATATGCCAATAAGCTGGACAATATGGATGAAATGGACAAATTCCTAGAAAAATACAATCTTCCAAAACTGAATCAGGAAGAAATAGAAAACCTGAATAGGCCAATAAAACTAATGAAATAAAGGCAGTAATAAAAATGCCCCAGCAAACAAAAGCCTCAGTCCAGACGGACTCACAGGGGAGTTTATCAAACCTTCAAAGAACAACTAACACCTCTACTCCTAAAACTATTCCAAAACGTCCAAGATAAAGAACACTTCCAAGCTCTTTTTCTGAGGCCAGCATTATCCTACTTCCGAAACCGGATAAATTCACTGCGGAGAAAGAGCATTACTGGCCAATGTCCCCGATGGACATAGATACTAAAGCCTCCAATATCAGCAAATCGGATCCAGAAATATAGTAAAAAGATCAGACACCATGTGGAGGGGGGAAGAAATGAGGAACCTTTGTAATAATATGAACAATAAAGATTGATTAAAAAAAAAAAAAAAAAAAAGATCAGACACCATGACCAAGTAGAATTCATTCCAGGTAAGCAATGCTGGTACAATATTCGTAAATCAATAAATGTGATACATCACATAAATTGAAAGACAAAAATCACATGATCATATAAATAGATGCAGGAAAAGCATTTGACAAAAATCCAACACCCATTTATAAAAACTCTCAGCTAAGTGCGATAGAGGGAGCATATCTCAACATGATAAAGACCATCTATGACAAACCTACACCCAACATCATACTCAATGGGCAAAAACTAAAACCATCTCCCCTAAGAGCAGGAACAAGACAGGGATGTCCGCTTCCACCACTCTTGTCAACAAAGTACTGGAAGTCCCGGCCACAGCGATCAGACAAGAAGAAGGAATAAAAGGCATCCAAATAGGAAAGGAGGAACTAAAACTCTCATTATTCACAGATGACATGATATTGTACATAGAAAATCCTAAAGACTCCACCAAAAAACGACTAGACTTAATAAATGAAATTGGCAATGGAGCAGGATACAAAATCAACACTCAAAACCTATGGTTGTTTTGTACAGCAATAATGAATTCTCAGAAAAGAAACTAAAACAATCCCACTTACCACTGCAACAAAAAAATTAAGATACTTAGGAATAAACTTAACCAAGGAAGCAAAAAAAAGTATAATCAGAAGCAAAATCAAAGGCCAAAGAAAACGATAAATCACTCTAACTGCTTTCATATTAAAATATTTATTTTTCTAAAAGGTCACACAAAAGTTGGGAAGAGAAAGAGGATGTCAACTAGTCTACACGGAGGTCCGGGAGGACGGAGGACACGGAGCTGGAGCCGGCGGCCCGGGGCCCGGGCCTGGCAGCCGCGCCCCGCACCACGGAGCACAGGGAGCAGCCCCGCCGGGCCGTCACCTCTCCGGCAGGCAGGAAGCAGGCGCTCACTCTTTAGACATGTTCTTGATGGTCTTGTGCTCCTGCATGGCCTTCTCCCAGTCGCTGCCATTGAATTCCTCGATGACCATGCTCCGCACGGTGCCCTCGTCCAGGCAGTGTGGGGCGATGCCTGGGGGTGGCAGAGAGAGGGGTTTCCTGGGTGATGAGACCAGCGGCTCTCCTGGCTCTTGCACAAGCCCACACCTGCAAGCGTCACAGGGCTGCATGTGAGCTCACAGCTCCTGCTTGCTTTCCTGGTCTCTGGGACGGGATCAGACTTCTCAGCCAGGGAGGTCACGGCTGGCCATCGGGCAGGGCAGGCTGAGGGCAGAGCAGAAAGACTCCGCCCGGAGCAACCTCTGACTCACAGTCTGCGGCGTCCCCCGGCCTCCGCTGGCTGAGACAGGTGCTTCTAAGCATTAAATGCCGCCCCACCGGTACAGGAGTTACCACCGTCCCAGAGCCCGCCTGTGCCTCGAGGTGGGAGAAAGGCGTCACCGCGGGAACAGACGGCAGCTGCTCCGGGAAATGGGCAGAAGAGCAGGCGGTGCCAGGCCCTCCCCACCGAGGCACAGGAGGTCAGGCCCGCTGCCCGTTCTGGAGGCTGCGCTCCCCGGGGAACACAGCCCCTCAGTGCCGCCCTCGCCGCTGCTTCAATTCACTAGGCAAGTGGCGTCATGGAACAACCAGCTGAAGGTTGTTTCTGCCTCCAGATCAAGGTCAGGAAGAGGGACTGGGGAGGAGGGGGGGGAGTTCTCCTGTTTCTGTTTTGAACAAACCAAAAAAATTGAATGGCATTATCACTGCCCTTCGTTCTTGCCTCCTTAGCCCTTTACCCACCATTGCTACCTCCTTCCCACAGCCCCCCATCTCTCCCCTGCTTGCTGTCCCCAGTGCCAGCCCTGGAGGCAGCTGGCAGCACCAGGATGAGGTCAGGTCGGGCTGGCATCTGACCGACCAGAGCCGGGCTTCCATCCAGCGTCTGTTCCTCTGAAACAGGCATGTGGAAGGGTCTTCCACGCAGGGCACACCGAGCCCGCAGCGCCCGCCGTGCTAACCGGCCTTTGCCCAGAGCAGCCGGTCCTCACCGAAGCCACCGGGGTTGGAGCGGGGCGTGTAGAAGCTCTGCACCCCGCACCTCTTGCAGAAGGTGTGCTGCGCCTTGTGGGTGTTGAACGTGTACGTGGTTATGCTCTCCGCTCCCTGAGGGAAAACACACAACAGGTGTCCTCTTCCACAAAGAAACATTTGTTTCTCACTTAAAAGTCTATCTTTCAAAAGGCTCAACAGGTTAGGGAGCCTCTGTAGGGCCCTGGGAGGAGGAGGACACATCCGATCTCTCAGGGAACCGCCTGCACCGCCAGGAGATGCGTGTGGACGGGCCCTGTGCTGGGGAAGGGCAGCTTGCGCCTCCTCGCAGGCCAACCGCAGCCAGAGCAGCCAGCCTGTGCCCCCCGTGCACAGCCTGGCAGCCTGGGGGCATAAGGGCGGGAAACGCCGCTTTCCAGGCCCAGGGAGCCCACAGCTCAGCTCCGCCTGGGACTGGTCTCCACATCCCCACGTGGCTGCTGAAGGTCTTGAGAAAACATTCATCTGTGAAGAACAAACTAAGAAGAGTACTTGCCAGACATCAGACACAAAAGACTAATTTCCCAAAAAGATAACAAATGAAAAATTGGACAAAAAACATGAACAAATAGTGCCAAAAAACAAACAAACAGGCCTGGCAGGTAGCTCAGTTGGTTAGAGCATCGACCCAAAATGCAAGGTTGAGGCTTTGATACCCAGTCAGGGCACCTACAAGAATCAGCCAGTGGGTGCACAATTAAATGGAACGAGAAGTTGATGTTTCTCTCCTCCCCCTTTCTTCTCTCTAATCCATAAATAAGAATTAAGAAAAAAAATAAATAGCTCTGTAACCTGTGAAATGGTGTTTACACTCACGAACTGCGATGAGGCGTTTTTCATATCGGGGGCCAATATAAAAGCAGTTTAACACAGTACGAGGAGCATGTGGGGAAGATTGCTCCATGGACCAGCTGTGAGAATACACACTGGTGAGTTCTGACATCAACATTTTAAATGAACATCCTCTAACACAGCAACGCCCCTGCTAGGATGTCTCCCCAGCGAGAACTCCCTGTGTCCAATGGCACATGCACACGGACAGTACAGCCTGCCTGGAAAGGCTGAGGATTGGATGAACTGACAGCGTCCACCAACAGACCAGTGAGAGCATTACGGACATAACATGGGGTCCCCTGCGACTTTCAGAAAGAACGAGGCAGTTCTACCTGCAAACACTAATCGGGAATCTTCTCAGGTCAGCAAGTTAGTGAAGAGGCAAAGAGTGTATCCACTTTTTGTAGTAGACGACTATTTCTATTTTTTAAAAAGGATACACATACTTGTGCGCTGTGTGTGCACGTGTGTGTGCACGTGTGTGTGTGTGTGTGTATGTGTGAGGGCTGGGGTGGAGGTTTTCTTATGCTTCATCCCCAGCTGCCAGAACACCCTGGAGCTCTGTGTCTCCTATAAAAACAGTTCCCTCAGGAGTCCCGCCCCCTGCCCACGGCCGCTTCCCCACAGAGAAGCTGCAGAGAACAGCCAAGTGGTCCCGAACCAGCCAGAGCGACCTGATTACACACTTCGCCCAGAAGTTACCGAGCGGGGAGCTGCTCACACCGGCTGCACCAGTTCACTACAAGGTCACCAGAGGTCACCATGACACCCGGTCCTCACTCCCTCGCGATGCTGTGCGCCCACCAGCCTGGCCGCAACCCTCCGCCACAGAAGCGCGCAGCCTGTCATCACTTCTCTCAGGCCCGATCACACTCCCCCGGGCAGCAGCCTGGCAATCCAATGGGCACTTCTCTTGACCACTGGCTTTTTAACTTGCTCTTCCAACTGCTCGGTACCACGCCTTCCATTTAGAATGTGTCTCTGAGAAACTCTCCTGTTTCTCCCCTCCCCCGCCATCCTCGGCTCACTAATGTTGGCAAGCCCAGGAGCCGTCCTCGGCCCTCCCCTTCGGCAACACCCCTGCCGGCTGGCTCGCTGGTCTCCTAACTCTAAACACCAGCAATAAGCTGACCTCGCCAAATCGGCAGCTGCAGCTCTGTTCTCTCTCCAGACTCTCATCCAGCTCCCACTTTCTAGCTCTGTAGGTTTGTCCAAAAGATAACTTCAACCGAGCTTTTTCTGAAAAGAACTCTTGCTTTCAGTATCTCCCGCTTCTCGCCCGGGACCTGGCATCTCTCTTCGCTGCGCTGGTCAGGCCCAACACTGCGGACGAGCTTCGCTCTCTCTTCCTCTCTTCATCCCGGTCCCTCCGAGTCTGAGCAGCTTCTCTGCAGCAGCGGCTCTCAGAGCGCGGTCCTCACCACAAGCTTCACATGAACATGTACGGAATGTCCATCTTCCTCCCCATCCCAGACCCGCGGGTCAGGAGTGGGGTTGGCCCCCTGTTCAGCATGCCCTCTAGGTGGCTGTGCACACTGAGGTGTGAGACCCACTGCTCTACAACATCTGTCAATTACCAATTCAAACATCTCTCCAGCCATGGCCAATGGTGGTCAATGGTTAGAGCGTCATCCCGTGCTCTAAGGATTGTGGGTTCAATTCCCAGCCAAGGCACATATCCAGGTTGTGGGTTCAATTCCTGGTTAGGGGGCGTACAGAAGTAGGCAACCAATCGATGTTTCTCTTTCACATCCATGTTCCTTTCTTCCCATTCCTCTCTCTAGAATAAAGAAAAAAAGCACATCTCCAATTATCTGTTTTCTTTCCATCTCCATGACTACCGTCCTAATCCAAGCTCCCATCATCTCTCACCTGACCCGCCTTGACCACCTCTTAGCTATCGCCGTCTGCACCTACCTCCTTTCCAGCCAGTCTGCACCCCGCACCACAGTGAGCTTTTAAAACCCGAGGCAGGTCCTGTCACTGCCCTGCTTCCGCCTGTCCAGGAACTTCACACTACACAGGATAAAAGCTACCCCTCTGCTGTGCCCTGTCTCCCCTTCCCTCCCCTCGTCCCTCCCCGCGCCTCAGGCTGCTCGGAGCCCTCGGCACTGCTTTCTCTTTGCTGGGGGCTCCGCCCCGCACCCCGCTTCGTCCTGAGAGCTGAGCCGGGGGCCTTTCCTATAAATCTACGCCGGCCCCGCGCCATCTGCTGTGCCCTCTGCTTCCCCTCGCTCCACAACGACCGGCCTTCTCGCCAGGCCTCTGTCCCCTCCACAGCCTGTCAGCTCCGAGGCGGACTCTGCCTGCCAGCTGCTGGGCTTCGGGGAGCAGTGCCTGTACACGGAGGTGACCCCCGTGTACTTGCTGAATGAATTGATAGGTTCAGTACTTACTTAAAACACACACACACACACACACAGTATGGACATATATGAGTCACTGCACCTTGTATCTGAACTAACACGACGTTAGGTGCTAATGCAGAGTGAAGGAATAAGCCCTGGCGGGGGGCTCGGTTGGTTAGTCGCCGGATGCACCTGGGCTGTGGGGTGGACACATAAGTGGAACAACAAATCGATGTCGCCTCTGTCTCTCTCTCTCAAAGTCAATCAATAACAATTTTTTTAATTAAAAAGAATAAATAAATACAGAAAAAAAAAAAAAAAAGCAGAAACTTGTTCCCTCAACAGACTGGAGCCGAAGAAGAGAATGGCTGTGGAGCGCCAGGAGAACGCACTGTAAGCAAGTCCTGGGAGAAAAGCACCAGCTCAAGACCCAGAGCCCCAGCCGCACCCACTGGTGTCTTCAAACACCATCCGCCGGGGAGCCAGAGCACAGGGACCCGGGCGGCAGCCCTAACACCATCCGCCGGGGAGCCAGAGCACGGGACCGGCCGCAGCCGCGGGCCTCGGAGGGGAGTCGGGAAGACGGGAGAGGGCTGTTGCCTGCCTGTCTAGCGCCCCCCCCACCCGCATGAAGGACCAGGGCAGACAAGCAACAGGAGACAGATCAGCCCGAAGTCCGGGAGGGAGCCCCTCACTGCCCAGGCGGCGGGGACCACGCGCTTGTCCTCTCCGTCTGTCCTGGGCTGCAGACATGGAGCAGGACCAGAGCCGGCCCTGGAGCCGGAGGCCGGAGGGGCAGGGACACTGCACGCGCACAGGCATGTCTGTCCCTTTCAGATGCTGCCCGAGAACAAAATAAAGTCCCACAGTAATAAAGTTTAAAAACCTTCTATATTTTTCACTGGGAAATGCTAAAGTCACTTATAAAACAGAAAAGTAAAATCCTACTTTGATAAAAGACAAAATACATGTTTAGATGTATCAATCTGGGTAAAAAATCATACACAAGCATATACACCAAAATATTAAGTGATTACCTAGTTGACAGGATCTGGGTGATCTTATTTATTGGAAAATGTTTCCTCAGTAATATCAAATAAGCATCCAAAATATAAAGGAAAAAGTAACAAGCTTTTACAAATAACTATGAAGCCCGGGTGACCAGGGAAATGACCGCCCAGAGATGCCATGCCCGCTCCTTGTCCCCTCGGACTCCCCCGGGTGCTGCCATCTCGGGGACTCACCACAGCTCTGCCTCTCCAGCCCTGCTCTCAGCACTAACCTTCAGGAGCTTGAAGCGAGAAGCAGGAACAATGAAGTGTCTGTTCTGCTTCTTCTTGCAGACACTGCAGCTGCAGAAAGACAGAGGCGCAGACTGTGAACAGCCTCCGCACCCTGAGTGCCCAGGCCCCCCGATAAGGGCTGAGCTGGCTGACCCAGGAGGCTCACAGCGAAACTGGCCGCCTGGGCTCTGCCCGAGGGCCCCGTCACCACCATCCCCTTTGAAGACCCTGACTGAGACCACGTGTCCGTCACCCACCCCCCTTCACACAGGCAGGGAGCTGTCGTTCTAGACACACTGACACCAGGCACAGAGGCGATCTTCCTCCTCTGGGAGAGCCACCCCGAAATGGACAGAAAGACTGCGTGTCCCTCTTTGCTTACCTGCTCATCACAGCAAGCCTCGCTCCAGGTAAAGCAGGTCCCCCGAGGACCCTCTGTGGAGCTATAATAAATGTAGGCCCTCTCTTTCCAGCCCACCTTTTTAAAAGTTATAATTTAGTGCAGAACCCTCCGCACCGGAAGAGCCTCTAATCCTCTGGCACAGAGGCCATGGTGCTGCTTCAGTCTAGACTCCACTTTATAGCCTGGTCAGGTCCATGGCATTTTTTTCACATAAAACTCAGGGACCACCTAAGGACAAAAGGTCCACACGATGGAGCCTGTCCCTGTTCTGTCACAGTGCCAGGGACAGCGCTGAAAAGCAGGCCCTCCACCGGGAAGAGCCCAGCGAGAGGACCGGAGCATGGTGTGTACCCCCCTCACTCACCCTCCCCCCCAGCTCTGAAGACTCTGCCCAAGGCCTTCCTTCAGTGCCCAGACTGACCCGCTTCAGCTACACTGCCCCACCCACCAGTCTGGGGGTGACTCTGCCGGGTACAAGCCAGAGGACCCTGCTCTGTGTCACCTGAGTGGTACTATAGCAGTGCTCTCTCTCTCTCTCTCTTTCTCACTCACTCACTCATTCACGCACACACACTCACATACAGAACAGACTCAGTTATTTTTAGCCTCCATTTTTTAAAAAATGTTATTATTAAAAACTTCTAGCCCTAGCCGGTTTGGCTCAGTGGATGGAGCGTCAGCCTGCAGCCTGAAGGGTCCTGGGTCTGATTCCGGTCCAGGGGACATGCCTAAGTTGCAGGCTCGAGCTCTGGCCCTGGTCAGGGTGTGTGAGGGAGGGAAGCACCGATGTGTCTCTCTTACATCGATGTGTTCTGTCTCTCCCCCTCCCTTCCACTCTCTCTAAAAATCAATGGGAAAATTTCCTCAGGTGAGGGTTAACTACAAAAAAACCCACAAAAACAAAGTGAAACTTCTAGCCCCAGCCAGTGCGGCTTACTTAGTAGGCTGGAGCAGTGGTCGGCAAACTCATTAGTCAACCGGGCCAAATATCAACAGCACAGCAATTGAAATTTCTTTTGAGAGCCAATTTTTTTTTAACTTAAAACTTCTTCTAACGCCACTTCTTCAAAATAGACTCGCCCAGGCTGTGGTATTTTGTGGAAGAGCCACCAAGAGGCCAAAGAGCCACATGTGGCTCACGAGCCGCAGTTTGCCGACCACAAGACTGGAAGCATTGTCCTGCACAATGAAAGGTCACAGGTTTAATCCCAGTCAAGGCACATACCTGCGTTGCAGGTTCAATCCCTGGTTGGGGCTCCTATGGGACGCAGCCGATTTGTGTTTCTCACATCAATGTTTCTCTCTTTCTCTAAAAATCAATGAACATATCCTCGGTGAGGATTAAAAACAAAATTTTAAATTAAAAAAAAAAACAACTTTTAGTACACACAACAGGGAAAAGAATAGGACAATGAACCCTTATGTACATATCACCCAGGTCCAACAATTACCAACTGTATGTTGTTCCATCTATCCCCCGTGCCCGGGAAACTGAGGCACCGCGTAACTCGGAACCTTTAGACCAACTAGGGAAGAGAAAACACGCACTTGCAGTCAAAGATGTGCAGGTCTGCAGAGGCCCAGACTTCAAAGCGAACCGCTCCACAGTGGCAGCCTCCCGTGTGCTTCACTAGGCCCTGGTATTCGCTACAGAAAACAGAAAATCAGCAAGATAAGGATTTCTGAGGCGCAGCAGATCTCCCAACACAGTCACAAACCCAAACAGGCAGCCAGAATGAGGAGACAAAAGAAACAACCCACAAATAAAAGAACTAGAGAATTATCCAGAAGAAGAAATAAGTGAAACAGAGAGAAGAAATTTATCTGATATAGAGAGAAGAAAAATGATGTTAAAGAGGATCAACAGCATGAGAAAAGATATAGTAACTATGAAAACAGAAAGAATGACATAGCACAAATAACACACGAATAAAGGAATACATAGCAGATCAGATGAAGCTGAGGATCGAATCAGTGAATTGGGGACAGGATTGAAAAAAAAATCACTCAATTAGAGAACTAAAAAAGAAAAGGCAGCCAAAACCGGTTTGGCTCAGTGGATAGAGTGTCGGCCTGCGCACTGAAAGGTCCCAGGTTCGATTCCAGTCAAGGGCATGTACCTTGGTTGCGGGCACATCCCCAGTAGGGGGTGTGCAAGAGGCAGCTGATGGATGATTCTCTCTCATTGATGTTTCTAACTCTCTATCCCTCTCTCTTCCTCTCTGGGAAAAATCAATAAAAATATATTAAAAAACAAAAAACAGGAGGACAGCTGTGGGATAACGTGAAACGTAACAATATTAGAATAGCAGGTTTGCCAGAAGAGGCAGAAAGGGAGAAAGGGATAATGGCAGAAAACTCCCATAACCTGGTAAAGGAAAAAGTCACACAAGTCACACAAGTCCAAGAGGCACAGAGAACCCCAAGCAAGAAGAACCCAAACAGACCCATGTCCAGACACATCATAATTAAATTTCCAAAATTAAAGACAAAGAGAGAATCTTAAAGGCAGCAAAAGAAAAGCAAATTGTTACCTACAAAGGAGTTCCCATAAGGCTGACACCTGATTTCTCATCAGAAACTCTACAGGCCAGAGGGAATGGCATGAAATACTCAATGTAATGGGAAGCAAGGATCTGAGACCAAGATTACTATACCAGCAAGGCTATAGTAATTCAAGTGCACATTCAAAATAGACGGTGAAATAAAGAGCTTCCTGAACAGCAACAACAACAAAAGGCTAAAGGAGCACATCACCACCAAGTCAGCATTACAAGAAATGCTAACGGACTGCTGTAATGAGAAGAAGAAACAGAGAGAGAAACCTGGGCATACAGAATTAAAATGGCATAAATAAGTACCTCTCAATAATAACCCTAAATGTAAATGGATTAAATGCGCCAAAGATTTAGGTTAGCTGAATTTTTACAAAAACATGACCGCACTATATGCTGTCTCCAATAGACCCACCTCAGGACAAAAGACACACACAGGATGAAAGTGAAGGAATGGGAAAAAATGGAAAAGAAAAAAAGCTGGAGTAGCAATACTCATCTCTGACAAAATAGACTTCAAAATGAAGGCCATCACAAGAGACAACAAAGGTCACTACCTAATACTAAAGAGATGGATTCAAAAACAGGATATAATCCTGGTAAACATATATGCACTCAATATAGAAGAACCTAAATATATAACAAAACTGCTAAAGGACTTTAAGGGAGAGATCAACAGCAACACAGTCATAGTAGGAACTTTAACGCCCCTCTGACTTCACTGGGTAGATTTTCCACACAAAAACTTAGTAAGGAAACAGCGACTCTAAAGGACACACTTTTGATCAGATGGATTTAATTGACATTTATAGACCATTTCACCCCAAATCTGCAGAACAGACATCAATCAAGCACCTGGATTATTCACAAAGATAAACCACATGTTAAGACACAAAACAAGTCTCTACAAGTTCAAGAAGATTGAAATCATATCAAGCATCTTCTCAGATCCCGTGGAATGAAATTAGAAATCAACTACAGTAAAAACTACCAAAACATTCAAACACAGGAGGCTAAGTAACAAGTTATTAAACAATGATGGGTTACCACTGAGATCAAGAAAGAAATTAAAAATTTCCTGGGAAGAAACAAAAATGAATACACAATAACCCCAAATCTCTGGGATACAGCAAAAGCAGTCCTGAGTTCTTAGCATTACAGGCCTACCTCAAAAAACAAGAAAAATTATCAATAAGCTATTAAACACTACAACTTAAAGAATTTTAGAGAACAACAAGAAAAGCCCAGAGTTAGTAGAAGAAAGTAAATAAAGATTAGAGCAGAAATAAAAGACACAGAGACTAAAATAAACACACACATACACACACACACACACACACACACACACACACACACAGGAATGGTTCTTTGAAAAAATAAACAAAATTGATGAACCATTAGCCAGATTCATCAAGCAACAAAGAGAGAGACCCAAAATAAATATACTCAGAAATGAAAGTATTATAGAAAGAAACCACTGACACCACAGAAATACAAAGGATTTTAAGGAAATACTATGAACATCTATATGCCAACAAGGATAGATCAGGACAATATGGATGAAATGGACAAATTCCTAGAAAAATACAATCTCCCAAAACTGAATCAGAAAGAATCAGAAAACCTGAATAGGCCAATAACAACTGAGAAAATTGAAGCAAAATAAAAATAAACTCCTGATAAATAAAAGCCCGGTTCCAGACATATTCATGGAGTTTTACCAAACATTCAAAGCAAAACTAACACCTATCCTCCTCAGACTATTCTAAAAAAATCCAAGAGGAAGTAACACTTCCAAGCTCTTTTTATGAGGCCAGCATTACCCGACTTACAAAACTAGATGAAGACACTATAAAGCAAGAGAATTACTAGCCAATATCCCTGATGAACATAGATGCTAAAAGCCTCAACAAAATATCAGCAAATCAGATCCAGAAATATAGTAAAAAGATCAGACACCATGACTATGTTCATTCCAGGTATGCAAAGCTAGTACAAATTTCACAAATCAGTAACATGATACATCACATAAACAAACTGAAAGACAAAAACCACATGATCATATAAATAGATGCAGAAAAAGCATCTAACAAAATCCAACACCCATTTTTTTAAATAAAAACTCTCAGCAAAGTGGGAATAGAGGGAGCATCTCAACATGATAAAGGCAATATATGACAAACCTACACCCAACATCATACTCAATGGGCAAAAACTAAAACCATCTCCCCTAAGAGCAGGAACAAGACAGGGATGTCCACTTCCACCACTCTTATTCAACAAAGTACTGGAAGTCCCGGCCACAGCGATCAGATAAGAAGAAGAAATAAGAGGCATCCAAATAGGAAAGGAGGAAGTAAAACTCTCATTATTCACAGATGACATGATATTGTACATAGAAAATCCTAAAGACTCCACCAAAATTCTTCTAGGTTTAATAAATGAGTTTGCAATGTAGCAGGATACAAAATCAACACCCAAAATCGATGGCTTTTTAACACATCAATAATGAACACTCAGAAAGAGAAATGAAACAAGCAATCCCATTTACCATTACAATGAAAAAGTTAAAATACTTAGGAAATAAACTTAACAAAGGAGGCAAAAGACCTATATTCTGAAAACTACAGAATATTGAAAAAAGAAATATAAACAAATAGAAGAATAAACCATATTCATGGATTGATAGAATTAACATCGTTAATATGGCCATCCTACCCAAGGCAATCTACAGATTCACTGCAATCCCTATTAAAATACCAATAGCATATTTCACAGATCTAGAACAAATACTTCAAAAATTTATATGAAATCAAAAAGGACTCTGAGTAGCTGCAGCAATTTTGAGAAAGAAAAACAAAGTTGGAGAAATCACAATACCAGATTTCAGGTTACACTACAAAGCCACTGTAATCAAAACACAAGAGCAGGCATATAGACCAATGGAACAGAACACAGACCCCAGAATCGACCCAAGCCGTTACACTCAATATTTGACAGAGGAGGCAAGAGCATACAATGGAGTCAAGAGACTCTCTTCAATAAATGGTGTCAGGCCGAAACCGCTTTGGCTCAATGGATAGAGTATGGGCCTGCGGACTGAAAGGTCCCAGGTTCGATTCCGGTCAAGGGCATGTACTTTGTTTGCGGGCACATCCCCAGTAGGGGGTATGCAAGAGGCAGCTGATGGATGATTCTCTCTCATCGATGTTTCTAACTCTCTATCCCTCTCTCTTCCTCTCTGTAAAAAAATCAATAAAATATATCTTTAAAAATAAATAAATAAAAAATGGTGTTAGGAAAATTGTCAGGTATATTAAAGAAATGAAACTAGACCACCAACTTAGACCATCTACAAAAATAAACTCAAAATGGATGAAATACTTAAATGTAAGTCAGAAAACCATAAAAATCATAGAAGAGCCCAGCCGGCATAGCTCAGTGGTTGAGTGTTAGCCTATGAACCATGAGGTTATGGTTTGATTACAGGTTCGGTTCCAGTCAGGGCACATGCCCAGGTTGCGGGTTCGATCCCCAATATGGGACGTGCAGGAGGCAGCTGACTGATGATTCTCTCTCATCATGGAGGTTTCTATCCCTCTCTCCTTCTCCCTTCTTCTCTGAAATAAATAAAAATAAAAAATGCAAAAGATAGCATTCCAAAAATTTTGGGACAAGGTCAGGTGGAGTTAGGGGTGGGAATTCTAATCCCACCACTCAAACATTTTTATTTATGTCAAATATTTACTAAAAAATTTACCAACCAAGTGCACTGCAGTGGAAAGATCAGTAAACAAGATACAGCAGATATGGTTCCTGGCCTTCAAACAAATTACCCAAATAAAGAAAGACTGGGATTGAAATGACTGATAAAGGCGGCACAAGCTGCTCTGGAAGAGAAAGACAATGGGCGCCACTGAGCTGAGTGCTCAGAAAAAAAGCCGCCTGAAAAAGTAACAGCAGCTCTTACTGTTTTGCTATATTCTCCTCCAGTATTTTCATTTACATGAGTTTTTACAAAGCCACACATATACATTCCATACAATTTTATCCTTTTAAAACTTATTATATTTAGCCAGGCCCTTAATTGAATATGACTATGATGTGATAAATATCATCAAATTGCTTTCTAAAAGAGCTGGACAGTCTTCAGTAATGAATGGAAAACATTTCACTGTACCTTCTCAAGCAATAACTACAGGGAAAAACAGCTTGCAGTGTTAACCTGCATTTATTTGGTTATTAGGGGATGGTTAAAAGGGGAGGGGGAGGGGGGGAGGGTATCCACCAGGATCTTGTAAGAATGTATGCATGGCCATAGACACAGATAATGGGGCAGGCTGGCTGGGGTCCATGGGGGGAAAAGGAGACACATGTAATAATTTCAACAAGAATTATTAAAAATAATAAATTTTTTAAAAAGGTGAAGGGGTCCGCCGGCCTGGATCAGTGTTGAGAGCTGACCTGTGAACCAGGAGGTCGTGGTCAGGGCACATGCCCAGGTTGCCAGCATGCAGGAGGAAGCCAATCACTGATTCTCTCTCATCATTGATAATTCTCTCTCTCCCTCTCCCTTCCTCTCTGAAATCAATAAAAAGATATATTTTTTAGAAAGTGAAAGGGAATAAAGTCAGTCATGGGAATTTAAGGTCCCGCACAGGGAGTAATAACACAGTAACTCTGTAGGGTGACAAAGTCATTATTAAACTTGAGGTGGCCACACCATAAGGCATATTAATATTGAATCACTGTGCTGTACACCTGGACCTAATATATTGTGTCAACTATAATTTTTTTAGAGACTTGTAAAGACTTAATGCTTTATCATGTTTCTTTACAAGGTGAATCAGTAACTGTACATTCCTTTCACATGTTAGTTAAAATGGTGAGTTTTGGATTTTTATAAGTAAAAAAATATTCAGTCCAAAACGACAAAAAGTGAAGCACACAGAAAATCGAATAATCCGTCTCTGAGAAGACTTTCTCACGAAGAGAATTTCTTCTGGAACAAAGACAAGGAACATTCTTATTCAAGGAACTAGCCAATCGTTTTTTCCTAGGGTTTTGTCCTTTTTAATTCATAAAATAACCAACACTGAGAGATACTGGGGTGCTAAAATCTGTACAACCGCTCTCCAGAGCCGGGCCCAGCCGCCACCGCCTTCGGGGATAACGCGAATGAGCACCCGGCCGCGCGGGGAGCAGCGGGGACGGAGCACAAAGACCTGCGCCTCCCGCGCGCCCCGCCCCTCCCTGCGCGCCTGGGCCAAAATGGGACTCGCACCCCGGCTGGTTCAAAACTTATGCTGAGCTTTCTTATCCTTCCTTCCCCTCCCACGTCTCCCAAACACCTGCCAATCCGAAAAGCCACTCCGGAGGGGCCCGGCTCTGCCCGTGCCGCGGCCGGCACAGGCCCTCCGGACACGAGCCCACGCGCCGCGCCCCGGCCTCGGGGAGCCCCCTCCCCAGGCCAGGCCGGCGGCGCGGCCCGGAGAAGGCGGCCACCGACGGGGCGACGCAGGCAGAGCCCTGCCCGGCCCGCAGCCGCGGCCCCGCGCCTCCCACCCGACCCGGGTGCGCGACCCCGGCCGCAGCCGCACTCACAAGGTGTCCAGCAGGAGCTTGGCGGCGCCCTCGCAGGTGAGCCTCTGCCGCTTCCGGAACGTCTCCCAGCGCTCCCGCTGGTCGCCCAGGTCCAGCCTGGCCACCGAGGGCGCCGGGGCCGGGGGCGGCGGCAGAGCCGGCTCCGGCGGCGCCTCCCCGGGGCCCGCCTCCTGGGCCCGCGGCGACGACGGCCTCGGCCGCGGCTTGGCCGCCCGGCTCCGGCCCCCGGGGTGGCCCGCGAGGCGCTGGGCGCGGGTGTCGCCGGCGGCCGAGGCGGCGGCGGCGGGAGCCCGGGCGGCCCCGGGCCGCTTCTGCCCGCGCGGCTGGGAGGACGCGCTCCGCCGGGTCGGCCGCATGGCTCCGCCACTGGCGCGCGCGCCCGCCGCCGCGCGTGCCCGCCGCCCGCGCCCGCCGCCCGCCGCCCGCGCCACCGGCACCTGCGCGCCCAGGGGGCGCTGCGCGGCCCGGCCGCCCCGCTGCGCCCCTCGGCCTGTCCGCTCGCCCCTCGGCCTCGGTGAGTGCGCCCTGCAGGCCAAACGGGCCGCACCTCGGGCCCAGGCTCCCGACACCCGGAGCCTTTGCGCCTGCGGAGCGGCCCCGTCCCCTGACCCTGCCCCACCTCGGCGGTCCTGGGTCAGCCCCGAATTCACGGCCACGGCCCCGCGGCGGGCAGCCGGCGCCCTCCCCTCCAGCAGGGGAGTTCTGCCCTTGCAGGAGCCCCGTGCGCCTGAGATGAACCCAAGGCCTGGAACCCGCTACCCGCTGACAAAGAACAGCCGAAACCATAGTCCTTAAACTTCGTCTTTCCAACTTTATAAAACCGTGTGTGTGTTACAATTTATTACTTAAAAAAAAACACAAAAACACGCCTGTTAACCATTGATACCCTTATTGATATCGACAGTCAACAGGCTTTAAAAAAAAAGTAATAAATGAAAGAAACCTTCACCCAATTACGTGATTGTTTTGTTGAACACAGCTCCAGGCTTATATTAGCTTTCACCTTTAAGTCTATGATCGATCTCAAATTATTTTTTTTTGTTTTGTTAATCCTCCCCCGAGGATATTTTTTCCATCTATTTTTTTCTTCTTAGACTGGGAGGAAAGAGTAGAGACAGAGAAACATCTATGTGAGAGAGAGATATCAATTGGTTTGCCTCCCGCACACACCCCCAACCAGAGCTCGGACAGAAGTACATGCCCTTGCCTGGTATCCAGCCTGGGAATCTTCATTCTGTGAGCCATCGCTCTATCCACTGAGCCAAACCAGCTAGGGCTCAAATTTTTGCATATGGTGTGAGTTTCTTTCTTTCTTTCTTTCTTCCTTTCTTTCTTTCATATAGACATGAAGTTACCTAGGTCTCAGTCCTCTATTCTGTTACACTGATCGACTTACCTGTCCTTGCACCAAGTCAATTCTGTCTTAATATGCTTACTTAATTACTTAGTCATGAAATCAGAGGAAGGCCCCCAGATTTCTTCTTCAGGATTATCTTGGCCCTGCTAAGTCCTGTGCATTTCCAAATAAAGTACAGAATCATCTATTTCTATAAAGCAGCCTGCTTGATACTTTATGCTATCAACCATACTCCTATGAAAATCCCTCAATTCCTCCAATTTAATATGTGTAATTTCATTCTTTTAATTTTTGTTTTTGCCATACCCATAGCTGGTTTTGTTTTTTTAAAGAAAATGTTTTAAATTTAAAAAGAGAGTTCCAAAGAAGAGCAAAGAGAAAAACACTGAATTAAAATAAAAGGAAAGGAAAAAAGAGAGTTCTGGCCCTGCCAGTATGGCTCAGGGGTTGAACCAGGAGATCACAGTTCCATTCCTGGTCAAGGCTCCTGCCAGGGTTGCAGGCTTGATCCCCATTAGGGCATGTGCAGGAAGCAGCCAATCAATGATTCTCTCATCATTGATGTTTCTCTTTCCCTCTCCTTTCCTCTCTGAAATAAATAAAAATATATTAAAAATAAATTTTTTAAAAATGAAATGTGGCCGAAACCGGTTTGGCTCACTGATAGAGTGTCAGTCTGCGGACTGAAGGGTCCCGAATTCGATTCCGGTCAAGGGCATATACATTGGTTGCCGGCACATCCCCAGTGGGGGATGTGCAGGAGGCGGCTGGTCGATGTTTCTCTCTCATCGACGTTTCTGGCTCTCTATCTCTCTCCCTTCCTCTCTGTAAAAAATCAATAAAATACATACTTTTTAAAAAAACGAAATGTGCCGAGACCGGTTTGGCTCAATGGATAGAGCGTCGGCTTGGGGACTGAAGGGTCCCGGGTTCGATTCCGGTCAAGGGCATGTACCTTGGTTGCGGGCACATCCCCAGTAGGGGATGTGCAAGAGGCAGCTGATCGATGACTCTCTCTCATCGATGTTTCTAACTCTCTATCTCTCTCCCTACAAAATCAATAAAATATATATAAAAACAACAACAAAAAAAAAAACCGAAATGTGTTTTGATTTACAGTTTTGTTCTCCGAGTTTGCACCTCCACCAGTGCAAGGAATTTCTGCCTTCCCTGAATCAGACAACCTTTTCAAAGCGGTGGGGACCATCCATGAAGCAGCTGACACAGTATACGAAGACTTGAAGTATACGCTCTCCTAGTGGCACCCACACTCAAAGCCCTCGTGCCATGCTACCACCCCAACGTAGACACCAGGGTCACATCTGGCTGGACATCCTAAAGGACAAGTGGCCTGCCCTGTATGACCTCAGGACCATCCTGCTAGAGATCCCAGCATCGATAGCCCGTGGCACACACGTGCTGCAGAGCTCTGGGCACACCCACAGCCTTCAAAAGCACCGACAGGAAACCTAGGCAAAGCAGGTCTCCGGCCAAGAGCCCTGACCTGGGTGTCCAGCCTCTCTCTTGTGCCGTCTTTTTACCTTTTCCTTAGGTGGTATGTCCTTGCCTCGATTTCTGTATAGGACTCTGTATTTTCAGCCATGGTATCATATTTGTTTGGTGTCTCATTTTAATATTTTTTTTATTTTATTGATTTTTCACAGAAAGGAAGAGAGAGGAATAGAGAGTTAGAAACATCGATGAGAGAGAATCATTGATCAGCTGCCTCTTGCACACCCCCCACTGGGGATGTGCCCGCAACAAAGTATATACATGCCCTTGAACGGAATCGAACCCAGGACCTTTCAGTCTGCAGGCCAATGCTCTATCCACTGAGCCACACCGGTTTTGGCTGGTGTCTCATTTTAAAATTAAGCCTCTGGTTGAGCCCCTATGATGAATATATATATAGCTTGGCCACTGAGGCCAAGCTATATATATATTTGCATATATATTCCTAATTTGCATATATCCTAATATGCAAATAGACCAAATGGCAAAACAACCAAACAACTGGTCACTATGGCATGCACACCAAGAATATGGCAGGTATCGGCAGCAGACGGCAGAGTGTGGAACATGGCGGGCATCGGCCATGGTGGGATGGTGGAGCAGGTAAGTGGGGGTGCCAGACCAAGATGGGGCACCAGTTGCTGTCATGGACGAACCTCTAGTGGTTACTGAAAATTCTTTGCTCCCACGCACTGCCCTCCTGCCTGGTGTTTGCAACCACTGCTGGCACCCAGCACCAGCCTCAATCACTCAGCACCATCAGTGGTGGTTATCAGCCCTGATCACCTCTCAAGGCTTCTCTACCTCCCCCTGCTCCTGAGGAGCAATCGGGGCTGGCAGCCACTGCTCACACCTGCTGCCAGTGACAGCCCACTCAATCCACTGATGGTTCTCCACTCAACCCACCGCTTGCACCCGCTGGCAGCACCAGCCCCAATCGCACCTACTGCTGGCCCTGGACCCAATCACTGCACGCTGTCAGCAGTGCAATCTGAGCTGGGACTGGCGCTGTCAGTGTGTGGGAAGAGTGGCAGCTGGAGCTGAGCTGCCAGCAGACCATGGGCCAGGGCAGGAGGGGCCGGGTGGAGGCATAGAGGATGGGCAGAGACCTGCCCGTGCCCAGAGCAGCCTCATGCCCACAGTTCCTTTCAAGGTGCACAGGACTCCTACTATTAAATAAATACATTTTCAATATAAAAATGAAATGTTTTAATAAACAATGCCTTTAGAATTATTCAAAGTGTGTATACGTTTTTTGGAATATCTTATGTATAAGCCCTGGAATGTTTATAGTTGTCTTTTTTTTTTTTTTCTTTAATCCTCACCTGAGGACATACTTCTATCGATTTTAGAGAGATAGGAAGGGAGAGAGAGAAACATCTATGTGAGACTGTAACATAGATTGATTGCCTCCCTACATGTCCTCTTACATTAGTGTGAAAACTAAGCTTCTCCCTTTACCCATGGAATTCAGGAATTTTGCCAGGATATGTGTATGTATTTATCTTTTTTACTTTGTTGTCTGCATGTCAATAAGCTTAACACCTGCCAAGCTTGATAAAGGAAAAAAAAAAAAAAGGAGACAACAGAATATACATTTATACATTAGAAATGAAAATGAAAACATAACCATAGAAACAGAATTAACTCAAAGACTTATCATGGAATCGTAATGTTTTTTAGACACTTAACTGGGCAAGTATTTTTATCATCTCTGTCTATTTAGCATGTGTAGGTTTGTGTAGGTTTTGACAAGACTTGCTAAATCATAACTTCTATTTAATACTAGGGTCCCTCGGGGTGGACTGCAGGGATTGGAGCCCCAGCTCACACCCCCAGCCTTGCAGCCCTGCAGCCCCACCTGGCACCCCACCATGGCCTAGTGCCACCACCTCCCCTGCTTCACCATCTCACCTGGGGGGCAATCAGGGCCAGGCCCCCTACCTAGCTTTATCAGCGCCTGGGAGTGGGTGGTGGCTGAGGACGCCCCCCCCACCCCGCCCGCCCCTGCCACCGCCTCTGGTCACCATCTGCGGGGCCATTAGCAGGGCAATTAGGCCCCTACTTGTGCCTGCCTTAGCCTAGCGCCATCTGCTCACCTGCTTCACCGTCCCGCCATGGTCCTGTTCTCATCAGGGCCCACAGAGCCAGCAGCGCCTCCACTGCCGCCCACTGCCAGTGATGCGTCGCTGACACCTGCCATGTTCTGTGCCTAGTGGTCAGTGCATGGCATAGTGAGCAGTCAAACTCATGATCAAACAATTTGCATACTGTGTTTCCCCGAAAATAAGACATCCTCCGAAAATAAGACCTAGCGCATGGAAAGATAAGACATCCCCTGAAAATAAGACCTAGCGCAACTTTGGGAGAAAAAATTAATATAAGACACTGTCTTATTTTCGGGGAAACAGGGTATTAGGCTTTTACTATCTAGGATAGGCTGTTTTTTGAAAAAGAGTGTCATATGTAGAAACGGGAAACATATCC